TAGAAAGTTTAGGCCTAGTGAAAGAGTATACTTAGAAAGTCTTGGTATCACAGTCTGCTAGACTAAATGTGTAGTAATAGTAGCAGGAGATTTGTTTTGTGATGTGTTCAGAAATGATCAATAAAATTTTTACTTTTCATCCAAAAAAAAATATAAGAGATAAAATAAATAAGACAAAGTTTAATTTAAACGAATGTTTTGAGAGTTATGCTATTTAATTTAATTAATTAAAGGTAAATTTATTTTAAATTCACTTCCAAATTTGATAATTATGGATGTGATATCTAAATTTGGGTCTCATAAAACTGTAAAACTTAAACCAGGAGTTAGTGCAGCGTTAAAACAAATAAAAGGGGTTACAATGAAAAATGAAAAAGTCAACAAAAGTGGAAGAGGACAAACTGAAGTCAACCATTTATGTCCGGTTCCCAGACGAACCACGGGTTTTTGACCGGTTTTCTCCAATTTATAATCAATTCGAGTTTGAATTTAAAACAGACCGGCTATGTGAGAGGTTCCTAGTTGATCCGGTTGACAACACTGGAAAAAGGGATACCGATCATTCTTTTCCAAAATTTAAACAAGCCAGTCGAACTATACAACGCTACCAGATCTCAGGTGGACGAGCTAGGTGACTATGTCATTCAAACATTCATTATATCCAAAGCAAATTTCGAAAGAAAAGTGTTCATTCTACTCATGGATATCTAAGCCGTCTGAAGACGTAAGAATGCTGATTAGGTTTAAGAGGAGACAATTCAAAATTTTTACGTGTTTTGTTATGATGATTAATAAGTGCCAGAGTCAATCACTTTCGCAAACAGGCCTATTTTTTACCATATCTGTTCTTTGCCGAAGAACAGGTATATATTGCAATTTAAAAAAAAAATCCAGAAAAAATCTCAAATTAATCAGATACAACAAAGGAGCTCTTTGCAATTGAGCGAAAAACATTGTCTACAAAGTAATGCTCCAGAGTACATAATTATTCATTAATCTTTTCAATTTTAATTCATCTCGTCGTTGTATCTCTATTGTCTATTGACTATATTTTGTGTTTTTATCATAACAAGATTGAAAATTTATACGTTGCAAAATAATGTTTTTGGATACGTAAACAAGATGAATTTGTTTATCCATGTAAGTTCATGCGTACAAACTAGTATGGATGTAATCCCTCTTAATTAATTGATTCAAAGCTTTACTTCAAGAATCAGATCATATAATTGGGTCAAGGCTTCAAACTAGACCTGAAATCCTTAAAACTGAATTTCATCAGCCGGCAGGAACAGAGGCTGATCTTTCCTGCATATCATATTTTCTTAGTACAAAAACTAAAAATCTAAGAGAATATCAAGTCCAACCATCGTCTCCCTTCACGCGCCGCCTACATTTGAAAACCGAAAAAAACGAACAGGAAACGATTTGCGAGGCGCCTAAGAAACTACTGATTGAATGCCACTTAGAATAGGGAAATTGTGTTTCAATCATTGTATCGTTATGCACAATATACAGACTATATATAGACAATGACAAACCTTAAACAAGGTCATTATAGGAAATATATTAAATATTACAATACGCCCCCGCAAACTGACGGTGGAGAAGAGAGAAGCCGAAGTTTGTCCCAGAATCGAAAGAATAACTCCTTGGACAAGGGTTTGGTCAGAATATCAGCAAGCTGATCAGCAACAGAGATAGAGTTGACCGAAACAAACTTTCGCCGAACATGATCTCGAACAAAGTAAAAATCAACCTCAACATGTCGGGTACGAGCATGAAACACAAGATTGACAGCAAGGAAAACGGCACTACTGTTGTCACACCAAATAGAGGGATGGCGATGTAAAGAAACGCCTAACTCGGACAACAGATGACACACCCAATGCAGTTCAACACATACATTAGCAACCGCACGAAACTCAGCCTCAGTAGACGAGCGAGCCACAGTGGGCTGCTTTCGAGATGCCCAGGCAATGAGATTAGGTCCCAAATAAATGAGAAAACCAGTAGTAGAACGATCATCCGGACAACCAGCCTAGTCAGCATCACTAAAAACAGTAAGAGTGCCCAAATCTGTAGGATGCAGAACTAAACAGAAATCAACGGTACCACGAAGATAGCAAAGAACCCGTTTGAGAGCCTGAAAATGAGAAGTGCGAGGGTGATGCATGAACTGACAAAGGTTATTTACCGCAAAGGAGATATCTGGACGAGTGAGAGTGGTATACTGCAGACTGCCATATAGCCGACGATAAGTAGTCGCATCATCAGGAGACAACAGAGTACCATCCAAACGGGACAACACAACATTAGCCTACAAAGGAGTGGAAATAAGTTTGCAAGTATGCATATTCGCAAGGCGTAGCAAATCAGTGACATACTTACGCTGAGAGAGGAGCAAACCCTTGGAAGTACGACGAACCTCGACCCCAAGAAAGTAACTCAACGGACCTAAATCCCGAAGAGAAAACTCCTCAGCTAGACAAGAGATGAAATGTTGGACCAAACCAGAAGTGCTACCTGTAAGAATAATGTCATCCACATAGACCAGCAAAAAACACAACTGAGACCCACGGCGATAGACAAAGAGGGAAGGATCACAACGAGACTCCACAAAACCCAAGGTGATCAGAAACGCAGCCAGCCGAGAATACCAGGCCCGAGGAGCTTGCTTAAGACCATATAAGGACTTATGCAGTTTACACACATATGAGGGCGCACCGGATCAAGAAAACCCTATGGCTGAACCATATACACAGTCTCACTTAGAACACCATTAAGAAAGGCATTACTGATATCAAGCTGAGAAATCGACCATCCACGAGCCAAGGCAACTGTCAAAACCGAGCGAATAGTGACCGGCTTAACAACCGGACTAAAGGTGTCAGTGTAATCAACCCCAAAAGATTGAGTAAAACATCAAGCCACCAACCGAGCCTTATAATGCTCAATGGAACCATCAGCATGGGTCTTAATCTTATAGAGCCATTGATTGCCAACAACATTGCCGGAGGAAGGAGGGGGAACTAAAGTCCATGTGTTATTTTTGAGGAGGGCGGAAATTTCATCCTTCATGGCATTCTACCACTGAGGAACAGATTTGGCTTGGGTGAAAGATGTAGGAGCAGTAGACAAAGCTAGGGAAACAGAGGTAAGATGAGCCGAGGGATCAAAGATTTTCTTGGGCTTGGGGTGTGGACGAAGTGCCATTTAATGCTGACAGGAAGGAGGAGGAGGAGGTGGGGGAGGAGAACTGGACTCAGGTGATGAAGAGCTGGATGCAGGAGAACTAGCTAAAGATGATGAGTCGGGAGGGATGGGAGGAGACGAAAGAACTGGTGTACTAGAAGGAGACGAAGAGGGCGCAGAAGACAAAGCAAGCATACCAGGAGAACTGGTTATACGCAACCAAGGGGTAGCAGAAGACTCCGGCAGCGAAGAGGGAGAACTAGAAATAGGACGTTTAAAGGGAAAGAGTTTCTCATCAAACTCAACATGACGAGCAACATAAAGACGGTTATTCACCACATCAAAACAGCGATAACCAAGATGAGATGGAGAATACCCAAGAAAGACACACTGAGTAGAACGAAAAGAGAATTTATGTCGATTATAAGGGCGAAGAAGAGGATAGACAGCACAGCCAAAAACACGAAGAAAGGTATAATCAGGTGGCTGGTGATATAGTGTAGTGAAGGGTAGGTGACCTTGAAGAGGTTTACTAGGGTGGCGATTAATAAAAAACACCGCGGTTTCAAAATCAAAGTCCAAAAACCAAAAAGGAGTACTAGAATGGCCAAGGAGAGCAAGGCCAATGTCGACAATGTGACGAATTTTGCATTCAACAGTGCCATTCTGCTCATGAGTGTGTGGACATGCTAAATGATGAACAATACCGACATCCTTAAAGAATGAATTGAGGGAACGAAATTCACCACCGCAATCAGAGTTAACACTTTTAATGGTAGTGCTAAATTGATTTTCTACGAGAGCTTTGAATTGCTTGAAAACATGGAAAACATCACTTTTATACTTAATGGGATAAATCCATGTGAATAAAGAGAAATCATCAATAAAAAGCCCAAAGTAGCGATAACCATTGAATGACAAAATAGGAGCAGGGCCCCAAACATCAGTGTGAATTAAATCAAGAGGTTTAGAGCTACGATGAAAAGTAGAAGGTAAACTAACCCTATGCAACTTCCCTAAACAACACGCCTCACATTTATCAGTGGACATGGACACAGAGGAATGAGGGAGTTGAAACTGCCTAACCAAAGTACGAAGAGTGACATTATTAGGGTGCCCTAAACGAGCATGCCATTGACCTAGAGAGACAAGATAAGCTGCTGGAGACAAGGAACCACGAGCAGGAAGATCTAAGCGATAGAGACCATTATTAGCCCGACCGCGGAGGAGGAGTTCCTTGGTTGAAAGGACCTTAACACAAAAAGAGTCAGAATAAAATTCAAAGAAACAGTGATTATCACGGGTAAATTTTTAAACAGATAACAGAGGCTTAGTAAGAGAAGGAGCATGCAAAACACGATTTAAATAAAGAGGACGAGAAAGCGATGGCAAAACAGATTGACCAACATGCTGAATAGGTAAAGCGTTACCATTACCAACTAAAATATGATCCGTACCATTATATTCATTGGAGATACTTAAGAGGACAAATCTGGCGTGACATGATCGGTAGCACTAGTGTCCGGATGCCAGGGAGTGACAGGAGGGGCATACTGTGCCATATGGGCTTGAGGAGACATCGTCGACTCTGGGTAAGACGGAGAAGACAACAAACCAGCCGAATGCTGTGTAGGAGAAACTGCCTGGACATAAGCAGCCGACCGAATGGCAGGGGGTCGAGGAACGAAGTTAGCATCAAAGCGGCGTCGGCAAGTGGCAGCCGTGTGATTCAAGATACCGCAAAGCTGACACGTCTCACCCGGCGTGGGATGGGTGTACCCACGCCGACCACCACCATGACCAGAAAACTAGTTGCGCCGGCCGCCGCATTGCGAGCGACCGGCACGAGAGAATTGAGGCGGCGTAGGAGCAGGTGGCGACTGCACAAGCATGGCCGAGGGCTGAAGAACCGGTTGTTGGGCGTGAAGAAGCACCTCATACGAAACTAACTGTCTAAGGAGATCTTGATAGGAGGGGGGTTCGGATCGCTGCTGCAAAGCTCCGATGATACCATTGAATTCGGCTCCAAGCTTGTGAAAGATGATGGCATTGAACTCCGCTGGAGATATGCGATGACTGGCAAGTTGCAGTGTATCTGCGATACCCTTCGCTTTGGAGAGGAGAGCTATGACCGATAAGTCACCTTTTTGCAAAGCTATGGAGCTCCATAACAAGCTGGGTCTGTTGTGCATGAGAAAGAGTGTCGAAACCCTGCTGAAGAGCTGTCCAAGCTGTCGCCGACGTTGTGCAGCCCTGGAGAACGGGAAAGATCTTTTCAGCAATGGAAGAAAGAATCCAAGAGAGGACCAGCTGATCCCTTTGCTGCCAGATATCAAACTCAGGATTGAGTTGGGGCCCGACACCACTAACGGAAAGAAGAAAACGTAGCGGTGCAGGTTCGGTGCCGTCGACAATACCGGCAACACGAAATATAGTCAATAAAGGAGTAAACTGAAGACGCCAAGACGAATAGTTGGCCCGAGATTGTAGCTTCACAGTAAAAGAATGATTGAGAGACTGTAGACTAGGTTGAAGAAGTGATACTGGTGTCTGTAAAGGAGGTGCCGCCGGCCGAAGATGGGTAGCCTGGTCGGTGGATGATAGATCGGTGATAGTCATCGTTGAAAGTAAGCAAGCAAAACTGCATAAAGCTCAAATTTTTTTTTTTATTGTTTTTTGTTTTTGTTGTTAAGAAGCCACCAACACCGATGGCCGAGAACGAAGAGCAGCAGACGGCGGCGGCAAAGAAGCACGCCGACAAAGCAGGACGTCGATGAAGAAGAAGCACGCTGGCAAAGAAGCAGCATGCCGACGACTGTAGCAGCAGAACGGCGGAAAAGAAGAACGGCGGCAGCAGTAGCACCGGCAATGGGTGAAAGCAGACCAGCGGCAGCAGCAGAAGCAAGGTCCGACGAAGCAGCAGCAGCAGCACCAACCGACGAAATTGAAGGAAGAACGCCGACGAAGACGACCGGCGGCAGCAGCAGCTGCACGAATTTGAAAGAGTAGAGGAAGGAGCACACGCCGGCGATACTGAGTTTGGTCGACGGGGAGAAGAAGAAGCCCACGGAAAAAAAAAACTCACGACGGCAGCAGGACGGAGGAAGCAACCGACGATTAAGGAATTGAAAGCGGAGGAGAAAGCGCCGGCTGAAAGCCACGAGTTTTGGGCGATGGTGGAGAAAAAAGAACTTACGACCGAAAAAAAAAAAGAAACCTAAAAAAAACCCTAACTCTGTACCAACTTAGAATAGGGAAATTGTGTTTCAATCATTGTATCGTTATGTACAATATACAGACTATATATAGACAATGACAAACCCTAAACAAGGTCATGATAAGAAATATATTAAATATTACAATAATGCCAAAGAAAAAAACATATGCAAAATTAACATAATTAATGATATACCTTATTATCGTGAAACGCTCCGAATGCCCGAGTAGTGCTCCGAATGCCATTAACCATCCTCACTTCCTTAGCTAGAACCGAAAACAAAACCTAGAATACTCCACAAAATAACGAACGCCTCAGGTACTAATGATAAACAATAAAAAATTAACAAAATAAGATAGCAAAAAGAGGTGGGAAATCCGGGAGATAGACATTTTTCCAAATAGAAGAGTAATGCTCAGCGAATCGTTGTAATATAAGGTGGCGACTATTGTGGGGAAAGAACAATGAAAAAACAAATCAAGCGCTCAACTTTCAGAGCTACAATCCCCGTAGAGGGGATGCGGGGTATCAATCCCGTAGTTGTGGGCCTTGTGGCTTGCTGGCGGGAGCTTTACGATCTGAGCTACAACCGCTATGTGTTATCTCTTCATCTTCTAAATTTAAACTTATAACATAAAATACGCAGGGGGGCCGGGGCGGTGGCGCGGGGGCGGTTCACATCACAAGTAATCTCCAAGTTTTTTTTACTTCATTGATACATCTCTAGAACCATTGTCCTCATATTACATGTCAAATTAAAATAAAGATTGCTGCCTCGAAAGTTAAAGTTCAAAATTTGAGTCTTAAGATATCAAATGCATGTCCAATTGTGAAAAGCTAAGTTTGCAATTTTATGCTTAATATTCGTTGTTTCACATTTTAATTTTTTACTAATATATATGATGATATATGTAAGTTAAATATGATTAAAACGTAAAAGAATGAATCAAATTAAAGAAAATACAATAATGAATGTGATTAAAATGTTCTATATCTAAACATGATTATTACTATGGGAATTTTACGTAAATTATCGATTTCTTTTTAATTTTTTAAAAAGTATTACAATCTCTCTCTGCTTTGGAAGGATTTACATAAGTTGAAAGTTTCCTGTAAATATAAGTTGGGAAAGCTACAAAAAAAATGTTGATGATGTCTTCATGCAGTTTTTACGTTATTTCTTGCAATGATGATCGACAGAGTCCAATACTACACGAAAGAGATTCGTCCCCTTGGGAAGAAACTGGAGGAAACGAAGAAATCAAAAGATTGAGAAAAAGGAAAATTTTTCCCTCCATCCTAAAATAATTATCTTGTTTGTTGTATTAAAATTATTAAATAGAATTATTTTCAGACAGAGATAGTAGCTAGGACTAATTTCAGAGTACTGGAATAAAAATGGATTAATCCAACTATAAGTAAAAACTAGCGCAACCGGTACTCCGCGCATGTGCGGAGTGGTGGTTTTGCCCAGTGTGAATGTGTACTATTATTGATGTATTTGAAGGATTGTATATGTATGTTAAAGTGATTCGGTAGAAAAATGGTGGAAGGGGGTTGATTGAAATGTGTCCGTTTATTTAAGGAGGTGGAGTAGCATGAGAATCGTATTTGGTTGAAATCGAGAATACTATTCGTAGATGACTGTAAATTAAGACACACAATTAGTTCAAACGTGCATTATACTTGCAAAGTGAAACCAAAAGCAAGGGTATGTCCAATATATCTAATTTGCAATCCGAGCATCTTGTTTTCTTGGAAATCAGAATGCATAGATGATTCTTGATTCACAGAATATTCAAAAGGAAGGAAAACTTGCTCTGGGACCTTCTACTAATTAAAGGAGGTACAACTAGTATAAATATCAAATGAAACTACCTTTTTGCCTAAGAAAATTGGCTTGCTTTATGTCAATCCCGATATTACAGGACCCATCGAAATAGATTTATGTTGTCGTTTCCCACCCCGTCAGAAATATATTCCATCGCTGGGTGCACCCAACTTAGTGGAGAATTTTTTCTAACTAATCTTGCATATCCGGGGCTCTTTGTTTCTCCTGAATCTCTATTTCCTCATAAGTCATAATGAAAATTTACCCACCAGAACCGATGAAATACGTTAATGACGGTTAAAGCCTGAAGAAGCGTTGCTTGGAGTGCTCAAATGCACGATTTTTATCTTCTGTTTTCAGATCACTAATTTTATCTTTGTATCAAATATCAAAAGCCTGGAAATTACAAAGATAATACAAACCTCAAAAACCCTCCCTTATTCTTCTTATAAGCAAAATTGAGTAATAACTACCATTAATTATGCAAAGGAGAGATATAGCCAGGTTAACCTGGCTAATCCTTTGTACTCCCTATGTCTCACAAAAAATAGTCCACTTTAAAATTTAAGATTTACACTAAAAACAGTACAAATCTCAAAGTTTAATGTGGACTATATATTTTTTATATAGAAGAGAGACATTCTATCGCTGGGTAAACCCATCTTAATGGAGTGGCACAGCTTGTTATAGCTAGTTACTCATAAAAATAAGAAGACTCGTATACTAGTTGTGTAATGCAAAACACAAATGCTGAAAACTCTAAACTAGAGCTATAATTTAGCCAGTAGCATATGAAATGGTACAAAAATGATGGGAGAAAGAAACAACTAATGCTACAAAATTTATATTTATCCATCATGATACGAAATTCCCCAGAAAAAAGAGACGAGATAGTGTTTTCATGTCATGGGAGTCAACCTAATGGTTATACTAACAAAAAAAACAAAGGGGTGGGTCAATAGACAAGAAAAGAATATTTACATATTCCAGTTTCCACAAGATCAAGCAACCTGTCATAACACATCATGGCCATCTACTTTTTGATGGTTCTTCAAGTTGAAGAACAACCCAATGTGCAACCAGACGCCCCGGAATCTACTACGAACTATACATCTTTCCCTGAAAAGCGCAAAAAAAAAACAAAAAAACAAAAACAAAAAGAGCACAAAAGTGCCTGAGAGTCCATTCTAAATTGAAAAGATGGGAAAAAATATAACATAAAATATGTAGACACGGTATGAAATCAAGACAACAACATCATAACATAAAGAGTGAATACAGAAAGGACTGAAATCGTCCCAGGTGATTGCAAAAATGAACACAATTAAATTGTAATATAGTCACATGGTTAAATTCAAGTTACTTCAGGAGAAGGCCAGAGAATAGGAACAAAGTACAAGGAGGGGAAGAAAAATTTCAAAACCACCAGAAGTATAATGTTGTCATGCCCATTAAGGAAGGGAGCAGTAATTGCTCTTCCCCTTGACTACACAAACAATTTAGAATTCCATCACATGGTTCAAGCATAGCTTCAGATAATTTTCCTTCATAAAGTAAAAAGCACCAATGACCCAATTCCATCACATGGTTCAAGCTAGTGTCACTTGGAAAGGAGCAAATCAAGATTGTTTGACCAGAAAAATTGGGGAGGAGATGACAAGCTAATGCTAAGATATCATGCAGAAGTCATCAAAGTCATCAATGCCTACCAAGAGCTACATTGTTTTCAAATATCTGAACACAAATTCAACACTTCAAAAACTCAAAACTATTATCTCATTCAATAACTTTTACAACAGTAACAATGATCAATCCATATGATAGTTCTTGTTCAAAATGTGGAGAACCAAAAAAGGAAGGTCATTGACTACCTGACTTTTTACTGGTTGGTTAATCTAGGAAGCAGGTGATATAGGATCCACTATTGCTATGCTGATAGGTGTCATTGGCAGTGAAGGAATCATTTCCTTGATCTTTAAAGTTTCAGGTGTCTTCATTGGTTTGACCCATGCAATGCTGCCTCTATTTGGCCTCTAGATGGAATAGAATAACTTCGAGGAATAACCTCAGGAGGCAACGGAAGGGTGGATGTTGTAGTACGCATCACAACTGAGTTCTTTACTACAGGAAAGTCTTGTCCCTTGGAGATCAAGGGCCCTGAATGAGTGTGATAAGCCGTCATCACACTAGTCGAATAATTAATTACCTACTTAATACAATTACTAGCAGTAAAGCAGAAAGCAGGGTCGATCCCACAGAGAAGGTTACCAAGTACCGGTTAAAATTATTTCTTATTATTATTTAGATTAACAATTTATCAATTTAAACTAATCTAAACCTAAAACTAACAATTACAATTAATTTAAGATTTTACACAAATAAAAGAAAACCTAGGGGAAAGGGTTCACCTACCGACTACTCCGTTTAACTCAACTTATAGATATGTCACTTTGGACTTTCATTAATCTCACAACGATTCACCTATTTAAGAACTATTCACTGTCGTGATATAATTCTCTTACTCAAACTAATCCTATGACTACTGTCGTGACTATAGGGATTAATAAAAGCACATTTAGAAGTTTAGAATCTCTAGCTGCAAAGGCAGTGTTCCTACTGTCGTGGCTCACTACCTAAGTTTAATATTCCCATGAACTAACGTTAACCTTCAACCGTCGTTCCTTCAGTTAAACACCTTTAAAGCATGCAAGTGGTGATTAAATACTCACATGGAATAAAAACAGGAATATTAAATATCAACTAATGAAAAAAAAGTCACAATCATGAATTAAATTAAATTAAATAGTACGGCGGTTACATCCAAAACCCTAGATTAAATAATTTAGCTGCACATCATCTCAAAAATAAATAAATAAAAACAAAAGAACCCGGAACGAAAGATCAAAAACCGCCAAAAACTCCCCGGCTGCTGCTCAAAGGTGATCAATGATGGAGGAAGCTGTGCGAAGGAGAAGAAGAAGTGGCTGGTTCGGTTTGCTGCGTCAAGGAAGAGCTGGCTGCTTTGGTGGTGTGGAGGTGAAAGCTAGGTGCTGCTGGTCTATGGTGTTGGAGGTGCGTGGGCAGCAAGGTGAGGCAGAGGTGGTGAAGGAGAGTTGCAGCGGAGGTGATGGAGTTTTGCCGCGGCAGAGGTGGTGCGTGGATGTGGAGAAGATGGTGGATGAAGGTGGAGAGAGGGGCGGTGATGGTGATGATGATGAACAAAGGGAGGTGATGGTGTTGTAGTTGCTGCGCAAAGGTGAGATGGTGGCTGCGTGGAGCTCGTAGGGTTTCGGTCAAGTTCGGTCCAGTCCTGTTGTAAAAATAAATCCTTAATTCTCCTTTTATAGGCTTCCGTCACAACCCTACTTCTTGGAGAGGAAGAAAACTTGTTTCCCAAATAATATTGGGATTAAAATTCTTA